TAACCTGTAAGGAACACCGCTTCTGGGGTGCACACCGTGTGTTCCTGCTATTTCTGCTCAAGCTGCTCCTGCACCGACCAGCTGAAGTCAGAGCACACGTGGGTCTTCCCAGATTCGTGTGGGTCCCCCCAGCCTGGGAAGCACAACACCGGGGAGAGCAAGTGTAGCAAGAGCACATCAGTCTACAACCTCACTCGGCTCGAGCTACACACACACACACACACACACACACACACACACACACACACACACACACACACTCCTTTCATGCAAAGCTGCCGCCATCCCCCTTCCCTGACTTGTGGAGAACCATGAATTGCATGCAAACATCATTGTAAGCCATGCAGTAGGCTGGTCCTCCCCAGTACTCTCTTAGTAAGTAACTCCTCTTTTGTGATCAAATAGGTCCCACAACGCTTCCTGAAATTAAGAGATTGGACTGGTTTGAGGGTGTACGCTTCTTCTGAGTGTATTTATATTTTGAAAACCTCCATTTATCATCTTATATCTATGTACAATTAGTAGCGAATACGATTAAACTCCGATGCATTTTGGGAAAAGACATGCACAGTGAACAAATCCTTACATAAGCCAACTCCGTCAGTCAGCGCATGAAGCCGTTGTGCCTTGCTCCTTAGCAACCATGTTTTCTTTCTCTTGGACCCACGAAGGAAAGCCTCAAACAGTAATCGGTGCTGTTCGCCACTGCAGCTCAGAAGACCCACCTTTCTCTGATGATGTACCTGGCTTGTACTTTTATTTTGCTTTTGAGTTGAAAACAAAACAAAAAACCTTTTGCTATTTTCTATTCATGTGCACATCACCATTTTTCTGACTAAGAGCTGGAAACAGCAACCACCCCCTGTTCTTGAACAGTCAGTTCTTACATTGCCTGCTGTTCAACCCAAACATCTGTGCAGATGAGGTGTCACTTCCCTGCCCCTCCCAAGCACACAGCTCTCAGAAGACAGGGGATGTGATGTGGCGTAGGGGCTGGCAAGGGTGGGCACCTCTTAAGTGTTTGCTCTTTTGTCTAAAACTGCTGTTGGCTAGTAGTCTTCAGTAGCTTTTTCATTTCTAGACATGGCAACTTATTGCGAGAAGGTATTTGTTCACTTGAAAAGCTTTGGGCAAGGTCAGTTAGGGAGCCCTTGCCATGCAGGCTCCCTCTAGAAAGGACCCTCTTTTCTCTGGGTGACCAGCTCTGGACTCCAGCAGTGTGTGTGTGTTGGGGGGAGGGACATTTCCTCTGGGGTCAAGAGTAGGTTTGCAGAGATGGTACTTGACATCGTGCAATTTTTATCTCTATTGGCAATATCAGTGTCAACCTAAATCCATGAAAGTACACCAACTAAGAAGGTGTGAATATATTAACACCCTCTCCCCAAGGAGTCCGAGGACTGCTTTGTGCATCTTCTTTGTAGCATCCCATATGATAGGAATGAACTGACTACAGGACTGCTGTGGAAGCTTCTAAACGGCGAGTTTTGACAGTCTGATGAGCCCCAGTAGCAATATGGACCCACCAGGCGTGTGTGGTATAATGGTGTAATTTAGAAAGAGTCATTCTGTAACTGGTTTGTGGAATCCTGGGGGATGCCACAGCTGATGATACACATCTATCTGATTGAGGTGTAAAGATGCCTTTAGCCTATTGCTAAGCTAAGACTCCAGGACACTACAAGGATGTTAAATTAATCAAAATTTTCATTATTATTTATTCACAAATGTATTGTATCTTCTAAAGTATTATCAGCAGTTATCTATGGGTGATAAAAATCTTGGGAAGTTTATGCCTTTAAACATTGAAGTACCTCTTATTGTTAGCACTGTGCGTGTATGAGTCTATGGATGGGTATGTTCATGCCACCTTGCAAGTGTGAACACCAGAGGACAATTTTGGGGGGTCAGTTCTTCTCTTCTACATGGGTCTTGGGGACCGAATTCTGGTTTTCAGGCTTCTGTGTTAAGTACCTTCAACTGCTCAGCTATTTTCTACCTTACTTTTTTTAACAGTATTTTTTTTTGTATTACTTGTATTTTATTTCTACAGAACAGTTATTGTTTTGTTTTTAAAAAATAAAACAGCTCTTTCAGAGTTAAAAGAAGTTATTGGAGTACAATAGTCTCATATACGGTAACCTTCAAGCTTCCTTAAAATGATTACTGTAAAACAAATGAAAAATAAAACTCATTTCAAAGCAGTTTTATTGCTGCATATTCACTGTACATAGCGATGGGTTCATAAAGACATTTTCTTGTAAATAGATCATGTTCTTTGACCATGTTCACTGCTCTATCTTCTCCTGTTTCTTTCCTTTCCTTCCTCTTGTCCTCCCCTTTATTTCCCATCATGAAAAACCATGAACGTCATAGCGTGCCAGCTGGGTGACACAGTAAAAAATGAGCCGGACACCATTGGGCACAGCACAACTCACACTTTATTCTGTCATGACCGGTACACATTAGGAGTGGGCGGCAGGAAACTGGTGTCTGCACAGAACTCCTCTGGACTAACGGGTTGTGGGAGACATGGCTAGCTTTGGCACACAGACTGGAAAACCATACATTGCCTGGAAGATGACAGCCAAGAAAGTTAAAAAGCACAGACCTAACACCCCATGGAAATCATGTCTGAATTCTGTAGCATGTTAAAGAGTGAATGATTACAAATACTAACATGCAACACCACATAAGCCACACTGTTAAACTAGACTACTTTATTTTCCCTTCATAGAGATGGAGAGACGATCCCTTTAGTAATTGGTTCCTAGTAGCATGTAAGAGCAATTAACACACTGTAGAGAGATCTGCAGCTGATTCCTCCAGCAACCCATCACAGTCAAAGACACAATGCCAAATAACGCGCTCCTTCTAGATTATCTTTTCATTAAACCAAGTCGTATTGACTCAGTAATTCTAACTCGACTTACACTTACTTAAATATAATTCCTCATGTCTTTATTGTGTCAAAGAGCATTTTTGTTAGTGTTCCCTTCTTTGTAAGCCACAATGGACGAGAGGACCACACTATGCTGATGAGAGCATCAAAGAAGCAATGTCACTGTGCAACAAGTATTTTTAATCTTCACGTCATTGTACACACAGCGAGTCCAGAGCAGCCAGCCCGGTTTGTGATGCATGAAGCACAAGATGGGGGAGAGGTGTAGATTCTAAGTGATTTCTCAGAGCAAATAAGGAGAGCAGGGAAGCAAAGGAAAAAGGGGATGGGAAAATCACCTTTGGTAGAAGAACTGTCACAGTGCAAAATCTATTCACTTGTAATCGACTAAACACAGCAGTTCTGTAATCAGGTAATCAGGATGATAGATAGAACGCATGCTTGTGACAATTACAAGTCGGTTAGCCCACACGGGCTCAGCGGCTTGTTTTTCCTGTGCTTCATTGTGAGATGGTTACCTCTCACAGGGAGAATTTCTCTCTCTCTCTCTCTTGCCAGTGTAGAGCCAAATTTAACCCCAAAGGGCAGGCAACCATAATTGCTGAGAACACGTTTTCTTTACTAACTTGGGCATACGGCTCATATTCATTTGCCCTGGGTGGGGGAACATATTATTCACTCATGATGAGATGTTTTGAAATATGATAAGAGGCCAAGATACGGTCCATTCACCGATGCAATGTGATATGATTAAGTTAGGCAACAGGGAGAGATAGGACACATTTCTTCAGACAGTTGTCAAGTAAATGTAAAAGAGGAAGGCAGTAAATGATGTCGTCCCATCCGTCTGCACAGGGGGACGCAGTAAAGACAATTCCCTTGCTCATCAAGATAAGGAGCCCTGATTACAAAGGAGGGAAGATGGACAGGTCTGAAATGATCTTTCTTTACCTTCCCAGCTTTAAATATTGAATGACAAACTGCAGGCTACTCGGCAAAGGTGGAAGTGACCGCGAGCGTGACGGGTGGGCCTGGTTGGGTCACCGTTCCTTGTAACATACCACGTCCCGGGCCCGTTCTTCCAGCTTTTAAGGAAAGGAATGCTGTGACATTGGTCTTTGTAAGAGACCTGTTTCAGCTTTGTTAAGAGCTGAAAGTTGTGTAATTTGAAGGCTAGGGAGGAAATAAGCTTCAGACAAATTCCACAGTAAACATTCATGGATATTTCAACGGAGACTAATACATTGTTTAAGGTTGACTTTAGGGACCATTTCCCGATTGTGCTCCTACACCATGGGTGGAGGCAGCCAGGCAGCTCCCTCTGACTCCTTCCAGACCATCAACAATCATTGTAGATGCTATGTCTCTTTTGAAGGAAATGACTTTTCAAGATCATGACGATGCTAAGGGGGCAGAATCAACGTGAGTCAGAAAGAAGCTGAAAAGGGGGCGGGGTAGAGAAAGACTTTCTTCCATGCTCCCTCCGATAGGACCAGTCACGAGGCAAAATCATGGCATGTGACTCAGTCTTTCTAAGATATGCCCATGGGCATTTTTTTTTTTATTTTATTTTATTTTTTCTAACATACCATGTCAACCACCTCAGGCTGAATTCACCTTCCTGGGTGTGGTTACCACCTCTTCAGGTAGTACTCAGGTCTCATGCAAACCCTGTCAGGATGTGGCTCTGTGAGGCTCCTATTCCCACACCAGATTTTTGGCCACATTTCTGCTGCTCGAGGGGAAGGGAGGGCTGCTGGTGGCAGGAGACGTGGCCATGAGGCAGAGAGGGAGCACACATAGGGAGAACCTTCAGGAAGGTACCCAGAATGCCAGACCCTGACAAGTCCTAGGTCAAGGTGGTTATGACAGAGGTGGCAAAGGCCAAAGAAAGTACTTGGAAGAGAGGCTTCTAGAGTGTAGAAGAGAGGGGAATGGGAAAAATCCACGGGCCAGGGAATTACACAGGAACCATATGTGATTCATGACACAGGAAAAAAAAAAAAAAAGTCCCTTGCTTATCTTGCTGATCAGGAATGCAGTCTTTAGAGTACCCTGCGACTAAACTATTTCCACACTAATCACACAAACACTGAACTGAGTGCTTCCACACGATTAATCACATTCTTTTAATAATTTGTTAATTCTGTATTTTCTAGGTCGCTTAATCTATTTGGAAATCCACAGGTTAGGTAGGTACCACCGTGAGGTGAGGGAGGGCGTGGGAAATTAAGCAGTTAAAATCGGAATTAGTTTTGTTTTCTGTAAACAAGAGTTAGTAGCACAGTGGCGCAGTAGATTGTCAAGGAAAACAGGAGGAATTGGCACAGAGCCATCAGCCTGGCCTGGCCACCTTGCTGGCCACCGGGGAGGGGCTCTCGGGCTCAGGACTCTGTCTTCTTGTTAATAAAAATGGAAGAGCAGGTGAGCAGGCCGTCCACCTTTTCCATTTCCGAATTGCTCACAGGGATCAGTAGATAGTCCTTCAGCTTCTCGTAAACCTACACACACAGGAATCAAGAGGGAAGCGGAGAAAAAGGTTACAGTTTGGCCTGTTTCCCCACTCTCCGGGACAGACTTAATTCCGGTTTACGTCATTTAACCCTAAGCACACACGTCCACAATCCTACCCCAGAGCTGGCCACAAATGGTTGACTGCTTATTCTACGCTTTAGCTTCAAAGTGAAGCGTGTATCACCACCAGGACTGTTGCTGGAGGAGCCTCTACTCTGCATTGAGTGGCCATCAAAACTGTGTGTTTAGTTTGAACGTCCCTCCCTCTCTTCACTTTAACTCACTCTTAACTACACTTTCATGTTCCTTTCCTTACCAGCTCTACCAGAAGAATGTGACAGTGTGTAAGTTAAGGGCACACTGCCAGTCACACTGTGTTTAAATTATAGGTGTGAATTTTATAGCATCTTTTAAGCGTAATGGAAAGTACGCGTCAAAACATCTAATTAACAGTCCACAGACTTTTCACCCCCCTGTGATCAAAAACACACTTAAAAACAAAACAAAACAAAATTCCTTGAAAACAACCTGCCCCAATTCTTTCAGAAACATCACGTGTCTTAAAATGTAGCACAGTGGTTAGCGTGTAGGATCCAGCTGGGCTCCAAATCCAGTCCCATCAATTTGCTACTGCCATTTCAGTTAAATGACATCCCTTCTAAGCTTGTCCACCTCTCTGGAAGGCTGGGGAACTACTGCTACAGGACTATTACAGAGACTAAAGATAATGCTTAAGGCATGCTTAGCACAGTGTCTGGTCCAGAAATACCCTTTGTAAACAAGGGTGTCACTGATGCTATTCTTACTGCTGATGGACACCAGGCTGCACTCAGAGGCAGTTAATGATACTTGGTTGCTAGGTGATCCATGAGGCTGCGGAGGCATGAAGTCCTCAAAGTAGGTTGTGTGGACTTGCAGCTTGTTCATATTGCAGGTTCTAGGCTGGGGCCTCTGGAACCTGCATTGTTAACAATTCTAGCACTTAAGACTGTAGCTACTGCAGTCCTTGTTTGGGATTGGGAGTCATATATATGTATGTGTGCATGTTCATACTTCTGCTACGGAAAGAGAACAAAGTTGCCTCTCCATCATCCTAGCCATCTTTCCATGTGCTAACAGAGTGACCATGATTAGAGGATAAACCTAGTCTAAGACAGCTCTGCCTATGCAAAAAGTAGAGCAAGGGCTAGAGAATGGTTCAGTCAATAAAGGTGAGTACCTTGAGGCATGAGGACCTTTTGTCAAGCACTCATGTATGAAGAGCTGGGTGTGGTGACACACATTTGTCACCCCAGCCCTGGGGCAGTGGAGACCTGAGGCCTGATCCCAGGGTTGCTGGGAGTCAGCCTAGCCTAGTTGGTGCATTCTAGGCCTGGGAGAGAGTTCATCTCAAAAAACAAAACAAAACAAAACAAAAACAAAAATAACAACAAACAAAAACAAAAAGTAGGGAGGTGGCCACTGAGGAAAGATCGAATGTTGTTCTTAGGCTTCTGCATGCCCCCCGCACATGCATGAACACATGTTCCCACTCATGTACAAACACATACATCATGTGCACCCATGCACACCTGCACACACTCATAGGCAAACAGCATAAAGCAATGCACAGCAATTTTCAAAGCATAGGACACAAACAAAATCAATGATCACTAAATGTTCTTCTGTAGTATTTGTTATAAATGTTATACTCCCTCTGGGCAGGGATGATCGCAGAATGCCTAGAGGTTAGAGACCCTGAAGACTCAGTGGCTGAGCTGGTTATGCACTCAGTGATGAAACAGAGAAAAGTAATGAGACAGAAGACTGCTCTGACACAAGGGCAATGGTTTCCTTAGTTCAGGAAAAGGTCCAGGTCCAGAGACTCTGGTGGGCGGATTGCAAGTGTGCCACACGCCTTCCCGCTCTATTTTCCTACCACCAGGATGTGTGGCCCCTTCTTTTCAAAACCTAGTTCTGCTGCTCGGCCTTAAGAAGCAGATGAGGTGGCTCGTGAAGGATGCCCACTGAGAGCTGGGGTCTTGGGTAACCAGGTTAACCTCAAACTCTCATTGTACAGCTGAGGTCAGGCTTGAACTTCCCGTGCGAGAGGGCTGCAGGTGTGTGTCACATCACGCGTGCACAGAGCTGAGGATTACACTCAGGGCTTGTGCCTGTTAAGCCAGAACTCTACCAGTTAAGCCATCTCTACAACCCCTGGGGTTCGTATGTGAACAACTGAGCGGCAGGCAGCAGCATCTCAACCACTGTGAACTCGTGGCTCACCAGGGCGCCAATGAGAAGGAAATAAGCACTGCCTTTGCTTCCAACCATCCTTCCTGCTGTCTCAGTGTTTGGATATGTGTAGCAAAATGGACGTCCTCTTTCGTCACTCCAGCACGAGAAGGTAGGTAGGTCCCCAGGGAGGCTAGCTGCAGGAGAGGTGGTCTTTTTACCTTTGCACTTTCTGGGTACTCTTCAGGGGTTTGGTGCAGCAAGACGTGCCCTTTGTCAGGGATATTGAGATATATACAGTTGGCGGCCATGTCGTCAGGCACAGTGAGCTTGTCGTAACGATGGTCACTCATCTGTTGCATGATCTGTAAAGACAAACGAAGCAGGCTTGAGTGGAGTCTCCCACACTCCCGTGGAGGAAGGGAATGGGTGGGACACTGACCTGGAAGGGGCTGCCTTAGATCGCTCTGTGTCTCAGGGTCGCATGTCATCTCTGATCACCCAGAGCAGCAGAGGAAAACCAAGTGTTCTCACTCACTCAAAGCTGTGCATGTTTGTTTCTAAGGTTTAAAACCAAGCTGTATTTTGGTCTATGCCCCCGAAGACATAGCAGCAATGTATAAAACGGGCAGGTGCAGGCAGTGTGGCTGGAGGTTTGATGACATTCTTGGCTGAGAAAACATGGCTGCCAGCTTACAAGCATCAGTAAGAGGTGGCCTTAAACCCGCACAAGCATACGAAATTTGTTCTCTGTGCACGTTAAAGTCAAGGCCCAGATTTCTAGGGTATCACAGGTTTAAGCCGGTAGCTAGACTACACTAAGAATAAGGTGTGGAACCAGGGTAAACATTTGACACTTACCATCTACTCTCAAACTTCCATTTAATGTTTTACTAGTGTACAGTAACATATGATAACACACTTTACTATGACATGCCTATTCATGTGAATAATATGTTTTGATCATACTTCCATTGCTTTCTTTGCCCCATCTACTTTGCTGATGCCCTTTCTCTTCCCGGCCAGTCCCCTTCTCCTTCATGTCTTCAGTTTTTGAGGAGCCAGGGTTTCCTCAGCCTGTGTCTGCAGTTGAAGTGCCCCCCATGTTTTCTTCTAGGACGCATGAAGCTGCAGGTCTCACACCGACGTCTTTGATCGATTCTGTACTATTACAAAATCTCTCATAGTCACTTCATTAACTCTTAACTTCACAGCTGGGACAGCGCCACAGATTACTAGAGAGAGGTCCAGTGACTGGAGACCTCAAAGCTATTCACAAAAGGCAGCATGTAACGGTCACTGCTACCTACTGGAGGCTAGACAAACAATCCAGAAACCCCACCGTGCTCACTGACTTAATTCCCCCAAGTATCACGAACAGGTTTTGGCTCCGTACATTGAGGTGGGGTACTCCTCACCACCATTGGTTTGTAGTTTAATTCTTAGGAACCAGATGACTCATTGTATTTTCTGTCTACAGAAGAAAACCAGAAAATACACGGAAAGAGAAAGAAGCGTGGCCAGACCACATATCTGAGGTCTCTCCACTTAAGCGGGGTGAGCAGATCCCGTCTGACCTACGGGTACCCAGGGGTGACTACAGGGCAGAAAGACCGCACACTCCTTGTTTAGCAGTGAGGGGACACACTACCGTCTCCAAGGCTGTGGATTTGAGGAAGTCCAGTAAGAGAGACTAGTCTTCCTTCCTTCTTGCCCCGTCCCTCCCCGACATCAACTTCTTCCCTTGAGGGAGCAGCCCTCCCTTCTTTGGCCTTGAGTTTTCGTCAGTTGATGACATTTATTTGAAATCCTAATCTGTTTTTCCTCATCACTCTCCCCTGAGCTTTATGCATTATGGCTTCTAAGGGGGGCATTCCAGAAATTACTGAAATAAGGGCCCACAGCCAAGCCAGAATAGTTTGAACATAGTTTCATTTTTCTTTCATTATTGGGAAGAAAAGAATTATAATTTTCTTAATGGGAAAATAATTTAATGCTGAAGATATATGAAGCAATTTACTGATAAATTCTATAGAGAGTTACTCTTAAAAAAAAATGCGGGAGCTACCTCAGGAGAAGGCTTCCAATTAATTTATCAAGGCCTCCTTGCTTATCATTCTGTGGCAAATTAGAAACCGTGCCATAAGAACTGACTTTTAATAATGAATGGGCTCCACATGGAGCTTGGAACAGTGCTGTTCAACTCAAAGTGAAAGAGACAATAGCGGCGTCTGGAGTCTGTCTGTCTGTCTAAAGGCCTTAGAATGCTAACACAACCAACTCATGGAAAAGACAAAGATGCTTATTCCAGACATGAAGCATTTCTGCCACGTTAGCTGAGGACCAGGGCTCCCCTCTCCTGTTGTCTGAGTGGTCATTTTCATTGCTTGTGAGCTGTTACTGTCTGAAAACTGAGATGGTTTGCCCTTTACCTACACCTGGGTGCAGGAGACACAGGTGTATACACTATGCAGGGACTCTGCTGTTCAGGACACACAGAAAAGGATTCAGGATTCACATCTCTTCATGCCGTGTGTGTGTGTGTGTGTGTGTGTGTGTGTGTGTGTGTGTTCGTTCGCATATGTGCATGTGTGTACCACAACAATGAACTTACATGTCTACCCTAATAGGGCAGCACTTCAAGCGGCCAGGCTCTCAGGGACCAAGCAGAGGCCAGGTCAACCAACAGACTTTCTCTCTTCTCAGACACTCAGTCTTGTGAGAGATGAACACTGTCTTAAGCATCCCGAGTATGCAGCTGTTGGACTGATTTGTGCTCCAACATTTTTTTTCCCCTCCTAAGGATGAAGGAAGTGGCTGTGTTCCAACATTCTTGGTAAAGTGTTCGTTTACCAGTAAGGACAAAACTTCCTGCTTGTCAGAGCACCCCACACCAGAAAGGAAGCAGAGAGCACCTAAACTCTCCACACGTCACCAGATTCCTCCCGGGCCAGATTCCTCCACTCCCGAGAGGCCTCGGGCTCAACTGGAAAAAACCCAGCGCAGCAGCTTTGCGCTATCCAGTCTGTGGGGGGGAAGATTGCAAAGGCAAGCGGCATTTCAAATGCCTTGTGTCAGTGGAATTGTCATTCTACTTTAAGTAACCTAATGAGAAAGGTAATCATTGGAATCGGAAGCTACCGACACCTGCTCCAGGCATCACGGGGTGTCCTCTTGGGGGCTAGGTACAAGGGCTGTGTAAGGTGACAAATCTAGTGATGCCGAGCATGGGAAGGTCTACGCCTCTTATCACAGGCACCTTCTTCAGCAAGAAGGCACATCGTCCTAGAAAGGAAGGGGCTTTGGACTTTGCTGGGGCCACAGCAGCATCACCCTGTCTTCCGCACAGCTGCTGGCTTGGAGGGACTGGCCTTGATCCCTAGAGTGGAGCTGCCACTCTGGCTTTCAGCCGGAACCTGCGTGGCCAGTCGCATTAAGCAGGCATTTCCGGCAGTTCCCACATTTCTGGGAATTTTCCCATGGAAAGGATTGGACAGCAGCCCCATTTTCTGCTTCTTACTCATACCTTCTTTGTATTACAGCAATTACATGTAAAAAAAAATCCTGGACTGTGTGGATGGACAGGACAATTTAAGACTCAATTGGTCAAATACTGAGGCAAAGAGATAAAGAAGGTATTTAAAGATGTTTAGGAAATAGTCTAAACACATTTGTGGCTTGCTCATAATTGATCTTCCATATATATATATATATCCATCTCAAGACATTAAAATGAAATCAATATGAAAAGCAACTAATTATAGAGCCCACTGAGAGATACAGTACACAGTGCACAATCATTTCTCATTGCTACTAGGTATCTGAAATAAATCTTGATTGATTTATCATGTGTCAGGAGTTAATTGAAAGCCTGGCAATGTATAGTGGGCTCCACATCCTGGAACCCTTTTAGGGCTGAGCCAATTCAAGTGTGTAATGTTATAGAATTGCTACCATGTCCCGACATTTTATGGGCTCTCATAGATGAGCTCAGAATAAACACATCCCAAAGCTATGTATGTAGATAACTGTATTGGGGATGAAACCCAGGGCAAGCGCTCTACCGCTAAGTTACATCTCAAGTCTGAAGCTCTCTTTCCTTTTTCTGTGTTCGAAATAGGGTTTTTCTGTGTCGCTCTGGCTGTCATGGAACTCACCATGTCGACCTCAAATTCCTCCTGCCTCTGCCTCCCTTGTGCTGGAATTAAAGGTATGTGCCAGCATGCCTGGCTCAGATGTGCATTTTTATTTTAGTTTTTTTTTTTTTTGAGACAGGTTTTCTCAGTATAACCACGCTGGCTGTCCTGGAACTCACTCTGTAGAGCAGTCTGCCCTCAAATCCAGAGATCCACCTGCCTCTGCCTCCCGAGAGCTGGGGTAAAGGTGTGCGCCATTCCTGTCTGGCTTCAGATGTGTATTTTTAGAAATAATGTCTTCGTTTATTCTTTGAGGGTTTCATAGTAAGTGTATAATGTATTTTGGTTATATATATATTATTCACCCCCCACCCCCGTCCCAAATGACTCTCCATCCCATAGTAGCCATCAACTGCCAATAGCTCCTCAGCTAGAGGCAGGCTTCAAGAGTTTCTACCTCATCCCTGCTGGAAATGTTGACTGCCTTGATCTCCTACAGGCAACCTCAGCTATGTGTAAGTGTCCTTGCCATGTGCAGAAGAGAGCGTTCCACAGTATTCCTCCTTACATTCCGTGTGCTCTCACTCTTCAGTGTCCCCGGAGTCTGGGTAGAGGGATGACACCGATGTCTCATGCCAGGCTGAGTCCTCACAGTCACTTCATTTCAGCACATGCAACAGTCATGACTCTCTGCCTCAATTGCTGCCCACTGTGACAGGAAGCTTCTTTGAACTGGCCAGTGTAGAAACTATCACCTCCTTTCTGCCCTGACGGGCTCCAACAAAACAACTCACAGAAGGCAAGGGGTTAATTTTGGCTCATGGCTTAAGGGATCAGTCAACCAAGGCACAGAGAGCAAGGTACAGGGCTTTGGGACAGCTCTGCCACTGTGTCCAGAGTCGGAGATAGATGAGTGCTGCTGGAGTTTTGTCCTTTCTCCGTTGCACACCGTTTGGGACCTGACCCCATCCGATGCTGCCACTCACATTCTGGGCAGGTCTTCCTCGCTCTATTAAATCTTCCTGGGAACATTCTCATCCACTCATCCAGAAGTATGTTTCCACGGTGGTCCTAAATCCTATGAGGTTGACAAGATCAACTGTCCTAGTAACCTAAATCCCACCAGCAGCGGTTTTGGAGGCAGCTGAACTTTAGGCATCTTTATTGGACAGGAAGAATGGAAAACTTTCGACTTCTGTTCTTTCTCTTCTCAATTGTTTCTCACAGCA